AATATTTATAACTTCTCTGGTATTTGCTTTCAGAGCAATTGACAAACTTTCCCACAAACTGGATAGAAATGTTTATATCTCAGAACAGAACCTGGTTTTCAGTTTGTTGGGGTGAAATATTGTTTTGTTTTCACTAGAGGTCCCTGTTTAATCACAATGGAATGAAGGAGCTTGTGCTAAATGCCTCTGTTGTTAGCGTGCAGATATCGATGCTCTACCAAGCCTGAAAGAACTTCTGGAGTCTGCTCCAAACACAGAAAAAAGGACTTGGGATCTGTTCAGTTGGATTCTATCATCTAAAGTCTTCACAATACAAAGTACTAAGAAACATGAGGTAAATTTTGAATTCTTAAAGTCTAGATTAGAGTTTGTTATTTTAAGACAAACTTGCACTTCAGAGAGTATTTTCTCCTGCCAGAATTAATTAGTTATTGTGAGAGCTTGTATATATAGAGGTGGTTGTTTTGTGTGCAAATAAAATTTTCAGGAACTCTGGTTGGAAGAAATAGTTATCACTGTCAGTTGTTGATGATGGGCAGTGATTGTAGTTGGTTACTTGCATTAATGTAGCATGTGTGTGAACATTCTAGACCAAGATAGCCCAACTTGGGTGTCACTGAGAAAGACAACTCTGTCTTCTGCCTTCTGCCCCCAAAATGGAAAGGTTCAGCACCACTGAGGTACTTCTGTAACAGGGATCAAAATAGTTGTAGAGATTAGCAGCAAGATGAAAACAACTTCTGTTTTCACTTTTTTTTTCTCTTCCAAGATCTGCTGATGAATGTATCATTTGAGTAGCCAAAGTAGAATTGTGATATCGTCCTTACATCATCAGATAATTCATAATCACAGTTCAGGGTTGTTTGGTGTTTTTTTTGAAAGAAGAATTAGGGTTTAACTTTGATAGCAAGAAACTGTCAGAATTTTTGCTGTCTGCTTACTTCTTCTGAATTGTGACAGTGTTGAATTCTAACTCAGAAAAGCATAACCAGAATACATCAAGCAGTGTGAAGGGACAGGAAGCAGAATTTCCACTGAGTAATCTGACCCCATAAATCAACACTGATATTCCTTCCTGTTTTTAAGTACGAGAAGATCCAGGAGCTCACAGGGATGTCTGGGGCTGCAGTTCCTGCTCCAGACTATCTCTTTGAAGTTGTATATTGTGATCAAATGAATACCAAGTTTGCTGAGACCAAGGGAGAGCGGGACCTCATCTATGCCTTCCATGGGAGCCGCCTGGAGAACTTCCATTCCATCCTGCACAATGGCCTGCACTGCCATCTGAACAGGGTGAGGCTCCTGCTATTGGCACTGTCTTCTCTTTGTCACTTGCAGATAGGGACACTTTTTAAAAATAGGCCCAGAATCCTTCTGGAGGTGGGAAATGCGCTGATGATCTTGTGCTGCTGTTTTCACTTCAGCGTAGGCCTTAGTGGATGGTTGTGTTGGATTTTCTAGTGCAGCCCAAGGGTAAAAACTGGAAGTGGCATGAAACCCTTTTCTCCAGTGTGACAAATTATGTCTATCCTTTGCTGCTTTGTAAGGAAGTGTAATTCCTCTGAAAGTATTGGCTTGTCTGACAGCCTGCAGCTGGACAGTGCCTGTCCAAAAAGGTAGAGGAGGATAGTGGCTCAGGCATTGCAGAGATTCTCTCTTTCTGCATGGCCTTGTGTTTAGGTCAGCAAAGTTTTAGGTGCTGCTCACAAGTGGAACCTTCTTTAAATGGCCTGGTTTAGGGAGACATCCCATAGGATTTGCACCTCTTCTGACTTCAGTGGAAAGACAGTTGGAACTCCTGGCTTTCTATGTCAACTGTAAGTCAGCTTTGACACAGCACCTGCTTGACCTTCCAGTCAACCTGGACTATGCCTTTTCCCCACATTCTAGATGAGTAATAGCTTACCGGGTACAATGGACTTACTGGATTAACAATTTTAGCCAGTATGGCAAATCCTCTGATTCCAAGTTATTAAAATACTTTTATTTGAAAGGCATTCATAACTGAAAAGTACTTCCCTCTTTTCTAGTAAAGCATGGATTTAATCCAAGTAAGGCCTTGCCTTGTTTGGGGAGGCTGGATTATTTAGATGATGACAATCTCAATAAATCAATGAAATGCCTTTTAACAGCAGGGCAGTCATGTTGATGTAAAATACTTATGCTGGCAAATGAAATCCAAATCTGGGAAAGCATGAATCTGTCCACACCAGGGGCTGTGCCAGACAGATAATTTGAGGGATAGGAGAGGGCAGCAGCCCCACCCCGAGGAAGCTGTGCCAGGACAAAAACAGTGCATGTTTTTGTTTGGCCTTTCTGACCAGGCCCAACGCGGGTCAGAAAAGCCTTTCGTGATTTACCTTCAGAAGCAGAACTGTCAGTCTGAAAGCAAAGAACACTTGTATGTTGTTTGAGGTTTGCACTAGAGGATTTTAGGACAGATTTCTGCTCCGTTTCAGACGTCCCTGTTTGGTGAAGGCACCTATCTGACCAGTGACCTGAGCCTGGCTCTGCTCTACAGCCCTCACGGTCTCGGTTGGCAGCGAAGTGCACTGGGCTCTGTCCTCAGCTGTGTGGCTGTTTGTGAGATCATTGACCACCCAGATGTGAAGTGCCAGGTGAAAAAGAAAGGTGAGTCTGCTGCAGTAATAACTCTGTGTAGTAACTACATCTGTGCTTCATGTTGTTTTTCTTTCCCTGTTAATATTAGCAGCTCCTTGAGCACTGGGTGGGAGACCCACCTCCTTGTCACCCTGGTCTGGGCCATAATGTCATCCATACCAAGGATGACTAGGAGTGGTATAGCCTCAGGCAAACTTCTCGGTCTATTCTTGGATGCTGAGGGATTCAGGGGAATACCAAGACTAGATCTTTGGTTATCTCATTCCCATTCTTCTGGTGGGTGTGTATGTGTGTGTTGGTTGCTTGCTTTTTTCACAGTTGCTTGAAGTTCTGTGTATTTTTTTTTTGCTTTTCTGTTCCCCCTAAATCCTCTTCTTTTCTCCTCCCAATTCAGATTCAAAAGAAATAGACAGAAAAAGAGCAAGAGTGAAGAACAGCGAAGGGGGGGATGTACCACAGAAATACTTTGTTGTCACAAACAACCAGCTTTTACGAGTTAAATACTTGCTAGTGTATTCACAGAAACAACACAGGAGGTAAGAGTTCAGCTGTCTAGAGTGATGAGTGTGCTATAACAGTCAGATAAACACTTCTCATTGTTGAAAAGCAACACAAAACAAGCAAAAAAGATACACTGCACTGCCAGAATTTGTTTTCAGCCTATATCCTATGGAAATGAGGCTTACAGCATCATGTTGCCTCTGTCTCACTCTTTGACATTCTCAGGCTCAGCTAAATTTCCTTTTTCACCAGACCTGTAAGCACTTACTATCTTTGAGAGCTCTAATAATCTGTTTGTGGCAGGAGACCAAGAATGAAAGTCTGATGAGTGTAGCTCTTAAAACTGGGGCAGTTTTAATTTAGCTCTTATCTATCCTGAGTGGCAGCATTCACTCGGCTATCAACACATGCCTGAGGGCCAGGCAGCTACAGCTCCAAACCACAGGGAAAGGTGTGAACATGAGGAGAAAAGACAGGATTGTGCAGGGAGACTTAGGGAAAAGGGATCTGGTGAAAATCAGGCTTTGTTAGTTACAGGGATTGTGGAACAACTTCCTGTTTTTACTGCATTCTCTTAACCACTTAAAATAATGAAGTCTAAAGTAATCTTTGCCAAGGTATCCATGGATCTCTGACAGAATCCGTGCCCTTTTCCCTTTTTAGGCCTTCTAGTCAATCTTCCTGGTTCTACACCCACCGTTTTGCCATAATGATGATGCTGTACCTGCTGTTGTTGATAGTGATTGGGGCCAGCAACTCACCAACCTTCATCTACTACTGGCACAGAATGTTTGACTCAGAGAGATGAATCACCTGAAATAATAAACTGTTATTTTCACCATGTGCCTTAAGAACAGCTGATCTGCAATGCACTGCATCTGTTCCAGAGCTCTGGAAATCGAGGTGCCTGGAGCTTTCCAGTTCTGTCACCCATGTATTAATCCTCATGGCATCTCTTCATTTTTTTCTTATTTCTGTGTTCCTGTGATTCATGAGGATGCCTGGTACAGCTGAAAAGGATCATAGTGGTGCAGCCTAGCATGAACCAATTGTTAAGGGTCCATGGGAAAAAAGGGTATTTAAGATTAATAAAAACAGTGTGGAAACACTCGGGTGTAACTTATTTTCTGTCAAGCTGAGGTATGTTTGCACAGCTGGGAAAGGAGACATTTTCTGTATGTCAGGCGAAGCAACCTGTTAGGAGTCTTATCAGTGTGTCTTCAGAAACTGACTTTAGTGTTTAGCATGTATCTGTACAGATGGGATCACTTTTAAAACTAACTTTAGCCAGGAACTTTTATATTTGAGCATAATGATTGTAAGAAAACAAAACCAACAAACCAACGAGAAATAAAACAACTGCCAAAATGGAAGAAGTTAAATGGTTTCTAGTATGTTTTTTTTTCCCCTCTGTAGAACATTGTTTTGTGTTTTAATCCCAGCTGGCAGCTAAGGAGAAATCCAAAGCGTAGTCCCTACACTACCTGCTAGGAGGAAAATTCTCTCTAGCCTGGACAAAGCCAGCACAAACATCTACAAGGCTTGTGCTCTCAGCCATGATGTGTCTTGTCCTTGGTTAGTGTGCAGATCAGACAAACTCAGGCTGTTCATCATCAATGCTGAGTAAGGATTATTCTTATCAAACTGGGGATTTGTTAGAGAACACATACACAGGTATGCACAAGTTGTGCAACAGACACAGAGCAACACCTTCCACCTCCTCACCAAGTCATTTGTTACACAGCAAACTACAACTACCAGAAACAGAGAAAGGAGCAAAGAACTATCCTCTGATTATTGCCTGGGCATGGAATAACTATCCTCTGATTATTGCCTGGGCATGGAATAAC